AGAATCGCTTGAACCTGGGAGGCGGAAGCTGCAGTGAGTGGAGATTGCACTGCTGCACTCCAGCCTGGGAGACAGAGCAAGGTTCTGTCTCAAAAAAAAAAAGAAAAAAAAATTCTAAACCTGGGTTTCAGTGATGATTGCATAAACAAACTTCCCAAAATATATTAAACTGTACACCCAGGATGGGTCAATTCATCTCTTGGTGTTCTTTGTTGCATCATCTATGAAACGGAACTGACATATAGTACTTACCTCACAAGACTGTTTTAAGAAATAAAATTTATTTTCCAGGTATAAACATAATGGCCAACCCTTCTTCTTTTTTTTTTTTCTCTAGAGACAGGGTCTTGCTATGTTGCCCAGGCTGGTCTTGAATTCCTGAGCTCAAGTAATCTGCCCGTCTTGGCCTCCCAAAATGCTGGGATTACAGGTGTGAGCTACTGTACCTGGCCTGGCCAACCCTTCTTGAATCTAAGTTTAAGTTGCATCAGAGATGCTCTCCTTCTACATTTTGCTGGGATCAGCAGGCAATACTCCTGGGTCCTATTATGATATGGATAGGAGTCATTTTTGCTCAAAGTTATGATTGGAATGGATTTGCCCCCACATAATTCAACCAAAACAGAATTGGAAAAAAAAAAAAAAGTTTTTGGGAGGTTATGTTCTGTAACAAAAACCCTCTCTCTGAACAGACCCAACTGGTTTAGGTGACATTCCAGGACTTGATTCCTTCCTATAAGTGCCCCCTTGCACTTAAAGAATCTCTGCCATGTTCTACTGAGTATGGTAAGAAACTTCTCTCAACTCTGTGCTGACAGAATTATTTGAATACGATAATACACGCTCATTATTAAATAAATCAGGCGGGGCGCATGGTGGCTCACTCCTGTACTCCCAGCACTTTGGGAAGCCGAGGTGGAAAGATTGCTTGAGTCAAGACGTTTGAGACAAGGCTGGGCAACATAGTGAGACCTTGTTTTTACAAAAATTAAGATGTTAGCCAGGTATAGTGGCACATGCTTGTGGTCCCAGCTATTGGGGAGGCTGAGACAGGAGGATCACTGGAGCCCAGGAGTTTGAGGCTGCAGTGAACTGGGTAACAGTGTCTCTAAAAATAAATAAATAGATAATTAAATAAATAAATAAACAAATAATTTTTAAAAAATCAAACATGATTAAAATATGTATAACCTAAATGCAGCAAGGCTCCCAGCGTAGCCACACCTCTTTTCTTGGGTCCACTTTGAGGCTACATTCAGCACTTAATTGCAAATTCGAGGAAACCGGGTCCCAGTTCCCTAGACATCACTAAGAATTATGGCTTTTGCTGAAGATTTTTTGAAAAAGTAGGGAAGAAAGTTTACAATGCATACAACATGAAAAACTTTATAGTAATTCCCTTTAAACATCTTTGTTCTGCTAAAATTTCCCCTCTAAATGTCAGCCTTCTCTCCCGCCTCGGCTCCCTTCTTCCTTGTCTCTGACTTTGTTGCCCCATCACAATCTCAATTCTCCTCAATTCTCTGGAACAACTCAGTTCTGGCTCTCAACTTGCCTATTCCACTCAAAAAGATAAAAGCTCAGTAGATGACTGATCTTACTCTGACCTTTTTAAAATGGAAAGCTCAATATCAATCAATTATTTGTCAGAATCGCTGAAAAGGCTGGGCACAGTGGCTCACGCCTGTAATCCAACCACTTTGGGAGGCTGGGGTGGGCGGATCACTTGAGGTCAGGAGTTCAAGACCAGCCTGGACAACATGGTGAAACCCCATCCGTACTGAAAATACAAAAAGTAGCTGGGTGTGGTGGCATGTGCCTGTAATCCCAGCTACTCGGGAGGCTGAGGCAGGAAAATCACTTGAAACTGGGAGGTTGTGGTGAGCCAAGATCTCACCACTGCACTCCAGCCTCGGTGACAGAGCAGGACTCTGTCTCCGAAAAAAAAAGAATGTCTGGAGATGGGTGTAGAAACTGGCTCCTCAGGCTTAGGAGACCTAATTGGGTGCTTCTTTCCAGTTCCACATTCAGTGAAATCATGCCGATAGCTTGAAATTGGCTGTGATTGGAATATTTACACCCCAGGAATTGGTAAGCACTACAAATTAGGCCTTTAAAAAAAGAAGACAGTGAATTATTATTATTATTTTTCTTTTGAGACTGAGTCTCACTCTGTTGCCCAGGCTGGAGTGCAGTGGCACGATCTCAGCTCACTGCAAGCTCTGCCTCCCGGGTTCATGCCATTCTCCTGCCTCAGCCTCCCGAGTAGCTGGGACTACGGGCACCCACCATCACGCCCGGCTAATTTTTTGTATTTTTTAGTAGAGACAGGGTTTCACCGTGTTAGCCAGGGTGGTCTCGATCTCCTGACCTCGTGATCTGCCTGCCTCGGCCTCCCAAAGTGCTGGGATTACAGGCATGAGCCACCGTGCCCGGCCTGAGTTACTTCTTAAACAATTACCAGCATACAACTGACTCACTCTGCAAGATGTACACCAAAGTCTTTTTTTCATTTCTGTGGAGAATGGGGTCTTGCTATGTTGTCCAGGCTGGACTGAAACTCCTGGGCTCAAGCTCTCCTTTTGCATCTGCCTCTCTAAGTGTTGGGATGCAAGTGTGAGCCAATGCACCCCGCCCAAAGTTTTTACCGAACAAATAGGTCCTGTTCTGCAGAAGTCAGTGCCAGGGGGTTGGGTGGGGAATAATTTTTGATGCCAAGCTTAAATAATTGGAAGCATCAGAATCTAGTCTTAAAGAGTTTATTCAAGTGAAGAGCTGGGAACAGCCAATCTGGGAGACAAAGACTCTAGAGAAATGAGATGAGAGTTCCGAAGTCGAAGTCGAAAGTTAAGTTCTTGCTTATAAGCAGAAAACAGAGTCTAGTAGAATGGCAACATTTTCTACACAAGCCTGGTTTATGAGTTACAACAATTTAATTAGTTACAGTTTGTTTTCTTTTCCTTAAGGCTTGTTTTCTTTTCTTTACAGCTGGCTTGCATTTCCTTTCCAATTTAAAAGTGTATTTAGCATTCCATCTTAAGACAGTGTGACAGCTATGAAGTCTTTGTGTGAGAAAGGTAAGCAGGAAGCTAATCTATAATGAAAATCAACAGTAAAGAGGGAAAGAGTCTTCTCTGGTGCCCTTTAGTCATTTGCAACATTTTACAAACAACATAGGTTAGGAAGATGGCTAATCTGGCTGGGCACTGGGGAGCAGTGGCTCATGCCTGTAATCCCAGCACTTTGGGAGGCCGAGGAGGGCAGATCACAAGGTCAAGAAATCAAGACCATCCTGGCCAACATGGCAAAACCCCATCTTTACAAAAGTTAGCTGGATGTGGTGGTGTGTGCCTGTAATCCCAGCTACTCGCGAGGCTGAGGCAGAAGAATCACTTGAATCCATGAGGCAGAGGTTGCAGTGAGCTGAGATTGCATCACTGCACTCCAGCCTGGTGACAGAGTGAGATTCCGTCTCAAAAACAAAACAAAAAGGCCTGGCGCGGTGGCTTATGCCTGTAATCCTAGCACTTTGGGAGGCCGAGGCGGGCGGATCACAAGGTTAGGAGATCGAGACCATCCTGGCTAACACGGTGAAACTTGGTCTCTACTAAAAATACAAAAAATTAGCCAGACGTGGTGGCAGGCGCCTGTAGTCCTAGCTACTCGGGAGGCTGAGGCAGGAGAATCACGTGAACCCAGGAGGCGGAACTTGCAGTGAGCTGAGATCCGGCCACTGCACTCCAGCCTGGGTGACAGAGCGAGACTCCATCTCAAAAAGAAAAAAACTAAAAAACAAAAACAAAAAAAGAAGATGGCTAATCTATAATCACAAAAACAAAGGTTACAGCTGTCTAGGTTACAGCTGCCTATCACATGACTCAGGCTCCATAATCACATTCCTTTAAGGCTCAAAATAGAGTTTCAATGGCTTAGATTTTGAATTACTTATTTTTACATTTTGTACATAACGGATAGAGTGTAATTCTCATTTGTTTCCCATACCACAGTACGCATTTCACCCAAGATAACCACTGATACATTTTATATATATTTCCCTAATTTTTCCCAAGTATATATCAATAGATCTTTATCTTATCTGTAAGGGATGACACTATACATCCCATAAGATACCTTGGTGTATGTATCTTAGATATTTTTCTTTGTACACACAGAGTCTTTATTTATTTATTTATTTATTTCTTTATTTATTTATTGAGATGGAGTCTTGCTCCGTTGCCCAGGCTGGAGTACCGTGGCAGGATCTTGACCCAGTTATTATTATGATGTTAGGAAAAGTTTTTTACTGTAAAGCAAATTTCTAGAGGAAGAATTGTTGGGACAAAAGGTTAAAACATTTCTTATTTTCATAGATGTTGCCAAATTGCTCTCCAAAAAGGTTTGTGCCAATTTTGGTTTCTACCAACAGTGTATGATAAGAATTAAAAAAAATATGTATATTTTTAGGCCAGGTGTAGTGGCTCAGCCTGTGACCCCAGCCTTTTGGGAGGCTAAAGCAGAAGGATTAAGGCCAGGAGTTTGAGACAAGCCTGGACAACAAAGTGAGACCCCATCTCTAAGAAAATATTTTAAAAAATGATTTTCTAGATAAGATTTAATGCTCTAACGGTTGTTGGCAACCATAGCTGAGACTTAGTAGTGATGATGATTGATTTCCTCATGAGCCTTTTGTTCTCTTTCCCTGGTACCTTTATTCATATAATTATCTCTACTCAAAATTCCTTTCCCACATCAGTACATCCCACCAAGTCTTGCAGATTTATTACAAATACCACCTCTAACACAGTGGCTTTCAACTGGGGACATCTGGAAATATTTGAAGACCCCTTTGGTTGTCAGAACCAGAGGTAGAGGGTGTTGCTGGCATGTAGTGGGTAGAGGCCAGGGATGTTGCTAAGCATCCTACAATGTGCAGGACAGCCCCACCAGAATTATGCAGCCCAAAATGTCAAAAGTGCTGAGGTTGAGAAACCCTGCTACAATTTTTTTTTTTTTTAAATAGGGTCTCGCTATGTTGCCCAGGCTAGTCTCAAGTTGATTTATCCTTTCTCTGCACACTTGATGCTTACTGTCCATTCTTCAGTTTTGGCATATAATAAATTGCTTTATATTATTGATCACTCTCTGTGTCAGTTCAGATTCTTTTGTCGGAAGTGATAGGACAACATTTAAACAGTGATAGGATACATTTAAACAGTAAATTGAGCTTACTGGCTCACATAACTGAGTTTCTGAGGTCATGCCGATTTCAAGTGCAGCTTGATCCAGTGACTCCAATGATGTCAGTGAGGACCCAGTTCTTTTTTTCCCATTAGTTGTGGTCAGTTTCATCCTAAAGTCCTCCTTTTCCACCTACTTGTGCTATGGGTAAAGAAGATCAAGTTTCATATTCTTATGTTTTACTGTCCAGGGCTTCACAGTAGCCACTAGTCACACGTAGTTCTTGAGAAATCTGTTTAGGTCTGATTTGAGATGTGCTGTAGGTATAAAATACACATGTCAGATTTCAAAGACTCACTATGAAAAAAAAGAATGTAAAATACTGATTTTTTTCTACTATTGACATACTGAAATGATAATATTTTGGTTTAATGGTTTAAATAAAATATATTATTAAAATTAATTTCACCTTTTCCTTTTCCTTTTTAAAATGCAGCCAATAGAAAATTGAAATCTGCATATGAGGCTCACATTATATTTCTATTGGATAGCACTGGTATAAGAGATCTTATTGAGATAGAGTCTCACTCTCTGAAGTCTTCCTCAAAAGAGAGGAGACGTTTCTTTCCCAAAGACCACAGCAAGCATCTCTTTACCTATCGTTGGCTTTGGTTGAGTTTCTGCTTCAATAGTGAACCAATCACCATAGGGAAAATGTATGGATAAGTTGATTGGCTGATGCTGGATACAGGCCCACCCCTGGAGGAGGAGTTGGATCAATATCACCTAAAATTTATGGTTGCGAAGATGAGGGAGGCAGGGAGGGAGGGAGGGGGTTTCACACAGGATTTGATTTTTTTTCTTTTTGGGATGGAGTCTCCATCTGTTGCCCAGGCTGGAGTGCAGTGACACGATCTCGGCTCACTGCAACCTCCACCTCCCGGGTTCAAGTGATTCTCCTGCCTCAGCCTCCTGAGTAGCTGGGCTTACAGATGTGCGCCACCATGCCCAGCTAATTTTTGTATTTTTAGTAGAGACGGGGTTTCACCATGTTGGCCAGGCTGGTCTCGAACTCTCGACCTCAGGCAATCTGCCCACCTCCGCCTCCCAAAGTGCTGGGATTACAGGCGTGAGCCACCGCGCCCGGCCCACACAGGATATTTTTGATTCTGTTTCAGAAGGTAGGATAAAGGACGTCGACTCTCAGCTCCTAGCTTATGCTCTCAGTTGCAAGTAATTTATAAAAAAAAAGGTTTTCCTATTATACAAATGATGTATGTGGATTATTTATAACTTCAAGAGCTGTCCACTGTGCCCTTTAGGTTCACAGTTCTCCCTTGAGTAAGACTGTAAAGCAGTTTTCATCTGATTGTATATGTCTTGAGTACCATGTCTCATTATTCTTTGTGTCACTGTTCATGTCTGACACTGTGCTTTGGCCCCGTGGAGCCAATGAGCAGTAATGGTGATGAACCTGGTGATGGTGGGGACCTCCACGTGCATAGTTAACATTTCTAGAGTTGGGTGCACCCCCACTGGGAAGCATCCAAGCAATGCTCAGGGAGCTGTGCCCACCAGAGCAGCAGTGTGGATTCCTGGTATTTGGAGGGGAGGAACGAGGGGAGCAGATAAGAAAATACAATCATCCAAGATCGTCCTCAATTTGGGGTAAATGCTATATGGGAATTAAAGGATTCACGGCAGAGGATGGTATATCTGTCAGCCATGGGATGGAGATCTTGGCATTTATGCTAAAGTGATGTTGGCAACCAGTTTGGACAGTGTAGAGGACGGGTTGTAAGGTGGCCAAGGTTGTCCCCATGATCCTCATCTCCTGGTGTTTATATCCTGTGTGATCCCTTCCCCTTGAGTGTGGGCAGGACCTGTGACTTGCTTCTAACCAGGTGACTATGGCAAAGGTGATGGGTTATCACGTTACATAAGATTGTCATGTGTGTCTTGCTGAGAGATTCTGTCCCTTGCAAGCTGCCATCTTGTGAGATGCTCTCTGGACAGGGCCACAGGGCAAAGGGAACTGGGAGTGGCCTCCACTGACAGTGAGCAAGAAGCTACAGCTACAGCCTTCCAGGAACTGAATGTTGCCGGCAATCATGTGGGCTTAAAAGCAGATTCTTCCCCAGTCAGACTTTGATATGAGACCCCACTGCCCTGGCTGGGACTTGGATTGCAGCTTTGCAGAGCACCTACCTAGGCTATGCCTGGACTCCAGACTCACAGAAGCTACCAGATGATAAATGCAGGTCGTTTTATGCTGCTAAGTTTTGGAAATATTGTTACATAGCCATAGATAATGAATACAGATAGATCTGACTCGGAGTGGCGGCTCATGCCTGTAATCCCAGCACTTTGGGGGGCTGAGGTGAGAGGAGTGCTTGATCTCAGGAGTTCAAGCCCAGCCGGGACAATACAGCAAGATCCCATCTCTTAAAAAAATTTAAAAATTAGCCGGGCATGGTGGTGTGCACCTGTAGTCCCAGCTACTCAAGAGGCTGAGGTGGGAGGATGACTTGAGCCCAGGAGCTCGAGATTACAGTTAGCTATGATCATGCCACTGCACTCCAGCCTGGGAAACAGGAATGAGGGCCTGTCTAAAAACAACAACAAACAGACCTGAGTGATATGTCCATTTAATTTTCAGCAGGGATTCAGAGCACCTTATAGGGTTGTTCTCATTTTATTGACTAGTATCAGTGAATAGAGAGACACTCTAGTAGCTTAGAAAACACAAGACTCTCTCCATATGTTATTTTATGATGGAGAGACCCCAATATCTGTCATTGATTGGCTGCCATAAATATTTCCAAAAGATGTTCAATCTTAATGATTTCTTGTTCCTTGAAGAATCTTAGTTACACAGAGTGAAAAACTGGTGGAGAATCTTAGGTGAATACCCTTTTGTTAGTGATAGAATTAGTTTTTACTTGGCAAAGGAAAGGGAGCTAGAAATTGTGCTCTTGAAGGCACACAACCTGAATTTTCAAAGGCTGTTTTTTCAGATCCTGCTAATGGGGAACAGAGAGAAAACTGCCTTGGAAGGGCAATCAGCTTCAAACCACACCACCCCTGAAGGAGAAATTTCAATTCTAAAAATATACTACCAAGCACGCCAATTGAAAGAGAAATGCCTAATGGTTGTGGAAAATCTTTACGCCCAGAGAAACTGGTCACATTAAGGTTCTGTCTTGCTTTTATCTGCTGTGAACACAATGTATGTTGATGCATCAACCCATTGTTCTCCCTTTTCAGGAGTTTCATCTTAGATAACATCAAACTGTGGGAGTTCACAAAATCAATGCATTGCTGTTCTCTTATTTCCTATTTAGTATGTGCTAGAATCTGCCCTACCATCTAAGGTTCGCACATTTCTGCTTTTAAATTTTTAGAATTTATTTTGCTTTTTTTATTTTTTTGAGACAGGATCTCACCCTGTTGCCCAGGCTGGAATGCAATGGTGCGATCTCGGCTCACTGCAACCTCCCCCTCCAAGGTTCAAGTGATTCTCCTGCCTCAGCTCCCTGAGTAGCTGGGATTACAGACACCCACCACCACGCCCAGCTAATTTTTGTATTTTTGGTAGAGATGGGGTTTCACCATGTTTGCCAGGCTGGTCTCGAACTCCTGACCTCAGTTGATTCATCTGCCTTGGCCTCCCAAAGTGCGGGGATCACAGGCGTGAACCACCACACCTGGCCTATTTAACTTTGTTTTTGTTTTACAGACAAGGTCTCGCTGTGTCACCCAGGCTGGAGTGCAGTGGCACGATCATAGCTCACTGCAGCCTTAAACTCCTGGGTTCATGCGATCCTCCCTCCTCAGCCTCATGAGTACCTGAGACTACAGATGTGTACCACTAGGCCTAGCTAATTAAAAAAAATTTTTTTTGTAGAGATAGGGTCTTGCCATGTTGCTCAAGCTGGTCTCAAACTCCCTGACTCAAATGATCCTCCCGCCTGGGCCTCCCAAAGCACTGGGATTACAGGTGTGAGCCACTGCAGTCGGTCCATGTTTTTATGCCATGAAATGATATATTCTTGAAGACCTCCATGATATAAGGTGCATGCCAAAGGAGTTTGATCTTTTTTCTTGCCTTTTGTGACATAACAACTCTGGAGGAGGCAGCCAGGGCTCAAAAGCTGATAAAAAAGCTTCATGGACTCCATGTTCCAAAGAAAGAAGAAAATAACTGGAGTCCCCTCTTCCATTAAGAAGTAATCAATAGGCCAGGCATGGTGGCTCATGCCTATAATCCTAGCACTTTGGGAGGCCGAGGTGGGCAGATCACTTGAGGTCAGGAGTTCAAGACCAGCCTGGCCAACATGGTGAAACCCCGTCTTTACTAAAAATACAAAAAAGTTAGCTGAATGTGATGGCATGCACCTGTAATCCCAGCTCCTCAAGAGGCTAAGGCAGGAGAATCGCCTGAACCCAGGAGGCAGAGGTTACAGTGAGCCAAGATTGCGCCATTGCACACCAGCCTGGGCTACAGAGTGAGACTCAGTCTCAACAACAACAACAACAACAACAAAAGTAACCAAACTACTTTGCTATCTACAGCCTCACTCTATCCCATCCTGCACCCCCGCCTGTGTACTGGGGGAGGGAAGATGTTATCAAACCGAACTGAGTTCTGCTCGCCTGCACAGTAAGGCCAGATATCCACACGGAGGTTTGCAGCAGGAGAAGGGAAGGCATTTATATGCAGGGTGCCAAGCAAGGAGAATTGAGCAGCTAATGCTTACGTCCTGACCTCCCTGATGGCTTGCAGCTAAGGGTTTTTAAAAGCAGGGGTAAATTTTAAGAAAGAAGTTATGGGCCAAATCGTAAATCAGTACATGGAGGGTACACCTTGGTGTTTGGCCTAAAAAGGCAGGATACCTTGAAGTGGCGGCCCACAGGTTATAGGCAGATTCAAAGATTTTCTGATTTGCAGTTGGTTAATGAAGAGAAGCTTTGTTTCAAAACTTGGGATCAGCAGAAAAGAACGTTAGCTTCTGGCTTCCTCCAGGCCCTTCAGGAAGAAATTTAGAACAAAGAGTGGTGGTCAGAGGTTGGTCACCAGTCTTCCCTCATCTGAGGTCTGTGTGCCTCTGGATTCATTTGGTAGGGGTCTCGGTTTTTGAAAAACAACTCTGGGATGTATGTTTTTTATTTTATTTTTTTCTGTTTTTTTTTCAATTGAGATAGAGTCTCACTCTGTTGCCCAGACTAGAGTACAATGGTGCGATTTCAGCTCACTGCAACCTCCACCTCCCAGGTTCAAGCGATTCTCATGTTTCCACCTTCTGAGTAGCTGAGACTACAGGCATGAGCCACCACTCCCAGGTAATTTTTGTATTTTTAGTAGAGATGGGGTTTCACCAGGTTGGCCAGGCTGGTCTCGAACTCCTGACCCCAGGTGATCTGCCTGCCTCGGCCTCCCAAAGTGCTGGGATTACAGGCATGAGCCACTATGCCCAGCCACATTTCAATTGGAATTACATTTTATTTTTTCCCACTTTATTGAGCCATAATTTACATACAATAAAGTATACCATTTTAGGGCTATATTTAGATAAGTTTTGACAAATGCATACACCATGTCAATTAAGCTATAGAACATTCTCGTTAGACCCCCCAGAGATCCTTTTGCAATTAATCCTTACCTTCATCTGCAACTCTAGCTGCTGTCATTGTTTCCCTTCTCTAGAATTTTATATAAATGCAATCATACAGCATGTATTCTTTTGTTGTTTGTTGTTATTGTTGTTGTTTTGAGACAGAGCCTTGCTTTGGCTCCCCAGGTTGGAGTACAGTGGTGTGATCACAGCTTACTGCCATCTCGACCTCCCAGGCCCAAGGGATCCTCCTACCTCACCCTCCTGAGCAGCTGGGACTACAAGTGCATGCCACCATGCCCAGCTAATTTTTATTTTATTTTTTGTAGATACGGAGTCTCACAATATTGCCCATGCTAGTCTCAAACTCCCGGGCTCAAGCAATCCTCCTGCCTTGGCCTCCCAAAGTGGTAGGATTACAAGCATCAGCCACTGCCTTCAGTTTCGTACTCTCTTCTCAATCTGGCTTCTTTCACTGAGCATAATGGTTTTAAGATTCATTTAATTTCACTTATTTTATTGTTTGTATCAATAGCACATACCTTCTTTTTTTTTTTTTTTTTTTGAGACAGTCTCACTCTGTCACCCAGGCTGGAGTGCAGTGGTACAATCTCAGCTCACTGCAACCTGCACCTCCAGTGTTTATGTGATTCTTCTGCCTCAGCCTCCTGAGTAGCTGGGATTACAGGCGTACACCACCATGCCTGGCTAATTTTTGTATTTTTAGTAGAGATTGGGCTTCACCATGTTGGCCAGGCTGGTTTCGAACTCCTAATCTCGGGTGATCCGCCTGCCTTGGCCTCCCAAAGTGCTAGGATTATAGGCGTGAGCCACCATGCCCGGCCGCACATACCTTCTGATTGTTGAGTAGAACTCCACTGTATGGATAGACCACCATTTATTTATTCTGCTTTTCCTTTTTATGTTAAATTGGGAAGAAAAGGAATTCTTACAACACTGGCACTTATTATTTAGAAACAGGTCATCCCTGTCTTTTCTTACTCAGGCCTTGTTTTTAAGTCTGCAGTCAAGCTCTTTACAGTTTTCTTTATGAGCCCCCTTGCTCTTTTCTTATTGTGTTGATTTCTAGGAACTTGATAGTTTGTTAGTGGAAGAGAATAATTTCTCTTTAACATTAGCTTAATGGTTGTTGCTAGTATAATGGGAAGCTATTGATTTTGTGTGTATGTGCATTCATCTTATATTGGGCTATAATTTGGAATGCTTGGTGGTTCTAATACCTTTTTTAGTTGAGTCTCTTGGATTTTGGGGGATTTACAGTCTCATCGCCTGTAAATAATGACGACGTGACCTCTTTTCTATTTTTTTTTTTTTTTTTTTGAGACGGAGTCTCACTCTTTCACCCAGGCTGGAGTGCAATGGTGTGATCTCAGCTGACTGCAACCTCCGCCTCTCAGGTTCAAGTCATTCTCCTGCCTCAGCTTCCCGAGTAGCTGAGAATACAGGCGCATGCCACCACGCCAGGCTAATTTTTGTATTTTTTAGTAGAGATGGGGTTTCACCATGTTGGGCAGGCTGGTCTTGAACTCCTAACCTCAGGTGATCCACCTGCGTCAATCTCCCAAAGTGCTGGGATTACATGTGTGAACCACTGTGCCTGGCCTTCTTTTCTTTCTTTTTTTTGACACACTATCTCGCTCTGTCATCTAAGCTGGAGTGCAGTGGTATGATCATGGCCACTGCAAACTCAACCTCCCAGGCTGAAGTGATCCTCCTACAGCAGACTCCTGAGTACCCAAGTAGCTGGGACTACAAGTGCATGCCACCACATCTGGCTCATTTTTAATTTTTTTTGTAGAGAAGGTGAGGGGTGGGGGGTGGTCTCACTTTGTTGCACAGGCTGGTCTCGAACTTCTGGACTCAAGCAGTCCTCCTGCTTCAGCTTCCCCGGGCTGTGATCTCCTTTTCTAAGAGTGACACTTACTCCTTTTTCTTACATGTGTAATCTCTGAGGAAAGGGAGAAAAATGGGAGGAGATGGTTGGGGTGCAGTTGTAGAGAGACAAAGAGAAGAGGCAAAATGAAGCCGCTTGAACTCCTGATGTTGGGTGGGACAAGAATGAATTAAGTGGACTCCCTGGAGCTTAGTTGACAGAAGGGTAGTTGGAAAAGTCCAAGCAAGAGTCCATTTCCTATGTCAATAAATTGTATAAGGTGTGGCCCTTTTCCTTTATTTCTAGTCTCTGCCCCAAGCATCAGAGGAGCTTTGAACAAAGGAGGGAGGGGGCAGCATGTAAGAGCAGACCACTCCCCACAGATCAATCTTTCTCCCCACTCCAAAGCTGGTCCTATCGGGGAGGGGAGTAGGAGATGATGCATCAGAGTCCAGGCACTATCAGGGACTTTGGGGCCGGGCGCAGTGGCTCATGCCGGTAATCTCAGCACTTTGGGAGGCTGAGGCAGAGGATCGCTTGAGCCCAGGAGTTCTAGATCAGCCTGGGTAACAAAGTGAGATCCCATTTCTACAAAAAATATTAAAAAATTAGCTGGGAGTGGTGGCGTGTGCCTGTAGTCTCATCTACTCGGGAGGCTGAGAGGAGAGAATTATTTGAGCCTTGGGAGGTCAAGGCTGCAGTGAGCTGTGATCACACCACTGCATTCCAACTTGAGCAACAGAGCAATATCGTATCTCAAATAAAGGGGGTGGGGTGGAGGGGCTTTGGGAAAACTGAGGACATGAAAGCCACGGGGTTTGCTAGGGATATCTCTTTTTTTTTGTTTTGTTTTTGAGACGGAGTCTCGCTCTGTCGCCCAGGCTGGAGTGCAGTGACCGGATCTCAGCTCACTGCAAGCTCCGCCTCCCGGGTTCACGCCATTCTCCTGCCTCAGCCTCCCGAGTAGCTGGGACTACAGGCGCCCGCCACCTCGCCCGGCTAGTTTTTTGTATTTTTAGTAGGGACGGGGTTTCACCGTGTTAGCCAGGATGGTCTCGATCTCCTGACCTCGTGATCCACCCGTCTCGGCCTCCCAAGGGATGTCTCTTAATGGTGGAAAAGGAAGGTTCAATAGAGAGTGGTCGAAGAAAGAGACTGGAAAAATAATAAATCGGGTTTTTTTTTTTGGACATAATGTTTAACCAGTTGCTTTTACAATGTCAACTGTATTTCTATCATCCCTGTTTTAGGAAGGGTGCAGTTAAGACTAGAGAAGACATTGTCATTTGGGGCAAAAGCCCATCTATCTCATCGTTGTAGAGACATCCTTCTCTGAGTCAGACTTGGATTTTGACTTTCATGGCACTACCAGATGGGCAGCACCAGATAGAGCATATCAAGGACCTTGTTACTAAGACAGGCACTAGTGAAAATGGGGGCTGCCCCTGCAGCTACTCTATTGGGCCACTAGATAGCGCTTCTGCTTCGAGGAGGTAAAATGCTAAACCAAGCAATGGTGCTTTAGATGGTTTAAAGATAAGGAAGCAACTAACGGAAGTAATTTACGGGGCAGGACTCTAAAAAGCCTATTTGGAAGAGAAGTATAGGCGCTCATTAGGCAGTGTGGAATGAGTATGGTCTAGAAAATTGCTTGTATTCCTTATGAAAAATTTATATTGCTAAACAAGGAAATTAAAGACACAATGAGATACCACTTCATCCCTATTAGGATGGATATTATATATAATATAGATATTAAGTGGAAAAATATACATTATTTATTTATAATATATAATATATAAAATTTATAATACATTTATTATTATATAATATAATGTGTTTATTATATATATTTTTATATATAAAATGGAAAATAATGTAAATGTTGGTTAGAATGTGGAGAATTTGGAGCCCTGATTCATTGCTGGCGGGAATTTCTTTTTTTTTTTTTTTTTGAGACTGAGTCTGGCTCTGTCGCCCAGGCTGGAGTGCAGTGGCCGGATCTCAGCTCACTGCAAGCTCCGCCTCCCGGGTTCACGCCATTCTCCTGCCTCAGCCTCCCGAGTAGCTGGGACTACAGGCGCCCGCCACTTCGCCCGGGTAGTTTTTTGTATTTTTTAGTAGAGACGGGGTTTCACCGTGTTAGCCAGGATGGTCTCGATCTCCTGACCTCGTGATCCGCCCGTCTCGGCCTCCCAAAGTGCTGGGATTACAGGCTTGAGCCACCGCGCCCGGCCGCTGGTGGGAATTTCAAATGGTGCAGCCACTTTGAGAAACAGTTTGGTGGTTCTTCAAAAAGTGAAACAGAATTGATGTATGATTCACTCCTATGTATATAAATATACCCAAAAGAATGGAAATCAGGGACTCAGACATTTGTACACCAACATTCTTTCAAAAAACAGAAGCAACCCACGTGTCTATCAACAGATGAATGGATAAACAACATGTGGTATGTACATGCAATGAAATATTCAGTCATACATGGAATGAAGTTCTAATACATGCTACAACATGGATGAACCTTGAAAACATGCTAAGTGAAATATGCCAGGCACAAAAGGCTGCTGTATGATATCATTCCACTTACATGAGGTACCTAAAATGGGCAAATTCATAGAGACAGAAAGTAGAACAGAGGTTAATAAAGCAGAGGCTGGGTGCAGTGGCTCACAACTGTAGTCTCAGCACTTTGGGAGGCCAAGACAAGCAGATCACTTGAGGTCAGGGGTTTGAGACCAGCCTGGCCAACATGGCGAAACCCCATCTCTACTACTACTAAAAATACAAAAATTAGCTGGGGGTGCTGGTGCATGCCTGGAACCCCAGCTACTTGGGGGGCTAAGGCAGGAGAATCACTTGAACCCACAAGGCGGAGATTGCAGTGAGCCAAGATTGTGACACTGCACTCCAGCCTGGGTGACAGAGTGAGAGCGAGACTCCATTTCAAAAAACAAACCAGCCAACCAAAAAACGGAAAGCAGAACAGATGTTGCCAAGGGAAAATGAAAAGATGTAGTTTAATAGGTCCAGAGTTTGTTTGGGATGATGACAAAGTTCTGAAAATGGGCAGTGGTCATGATTCATTGCACAACATTATGAATGTACCTAATGCTACTGAGCTGTATGCTAAAGAATAGTTAAATAGGCCAGGCGCAGTGGCTCACGCCTGTAACCTCAGCACTTTGGTAGGCTGAGGAGGGCGAATCATCTGAGGTCAGAGTTCCAGACCAGCCTGGTGAAACCACGTCTATACAAAAAAATACAAAAATTAGCTGGGCATGGTGGCATGTGCCTGTAATCCCAGCTACTCAGGAGGCTGAGGCAGGGGAATTGCTTGAACCCGGGAGGCAGAGCTTGCAGTGAGCCTAGATCGCTCCATTGCACTCCAGCCTGGGCAACAGAGCAAGACTCTGTCTCAAAAAAAAAAAAAAAGAATAGTTAAATGGAAAAAATTATGCTGTGTATATTTTACCACAATAAAAATAAATAAATAGCTGGCCAACATGGTGAAACCCTGTCTCTACTGAAAATAAAAAATACAGGCCAGGTGCGGTGGCTCACGCCTGTAATCCCAGCACTTTGGGAGACCAAGGCGGGCAGATCACGAGGTCAGGAGATGGAGACCATCCTGCTAACATGGTGAAACCCCGTCTCTACTAAAAGTACAAAAAATTAGCCAGGTGTGGTGGCCGGCACCTGTAGTCCCAGCTACTCAGGAAGCTGAGGCAGGAGAATGGTGTGAACCCGGGAGGCGGAGCTTGCAGTGAGCCGAGATGGGCCACTGCACTCCAGCCTGGGCGGCAGAGCAAGACTGCGTCTCAGAAACAACAACAACAATAACAACAACAAAATTAGTCAGGTGTGGTGCCACATGCCTGTAATCCCAGCTACTTGGGAGGCTGAGGCAGGAGAATCACTTGAACCTGGGTGGTGGAGGTTGCAGTGAGCCGAGATCGCACCGCTGCCTTCCAGCCTGGGCAACAAGTGAGACTCCATTTAAAAAAAAAAGAAAAATATTTATTAATAAAGCTATGCCCTCTGATATTTGTTTTTGGCCAAGAAAGCTGCTCTTGACATTTTATTAGCTAACTTGCAGTTGGATGTAAAGGCCTATAATCAAAATATACCAAGGTGGGCAGATCACTTGAGCCAGGAGTTCAAGACCAGCCTGGGCAATATGGTGAAACCTCATCTCTACAAAAAGTACAACATTTAGCCGGCCCTGGTTGTGTGTGCCTGTAGTTCAAGCTACTCGGGAGGCTGAGGCATGAGGATCACCTGAGCATGGGAAGTCAAGGCTGCAGTAAACTGAGATTATGCCACTGCATTCCTGCCTGGGTGACAGATCGAGACCCTGTCTTAAAAAACAAACAATCAAAACAATAAAAGACAAAGATAAAAGAAATACAAATGGCTTTTAAATACATGAAAAGATGTTCAACTAAAACTATACTGAGATAGCATTTTTTTCATCTATCACATAGCATAGACAACACATTTAAATAACATGCTGCATCAGTAAAGGTGAATAAAAGGCACCTTTGTACAACTCTAGTAGGGCTATAAACTAGTACTGCCCCTCTGGAGGGCATTTTAATCTACCAAACTATGCTGTAAGAGAACATTTGACCCAACGAAATTGCACTTAAAAATTTATCATACAGATAAACTTGCAGGTGTGAAACATATACATAAAAGTCACTCTTTGCAGCATTGTTTGATGTAGCGATACATTAGAGACAACCTAAATGTCCATCATTTGGGGGTTGATTAAATAAAGTTTGATATAGCCATTCCATGGAATACTATGCAGCTATAAAAGATACATAAATTGTAGCACTATCAGAGGCAGGAGGATCGCTTGAGTCCAAGAGTTCAAGACTAGCCTCAGTAACATAACAAGACCTTGCTGCCACAAAAAAAACCACAAAAAAACAAAAAAAAAAAACCACAAAAAGTATTCGGTTGTAGTGGCAGGTGCCTGAAGTCCCAGCTACTCAGGAGGCTGAGGTGGGTGGATTGCCTGAGCCCAGGAGGTCGCAGTGAGCCATTATCATGCCTCTGCACTCCAG